GCAAGGACGGGACAAGGGGTGGGAGGAGGTGAGGCGGTTAAGCAAAACTAAGGATCTATAAAAAGTCTTTGTGGAAACCCACTATTTGTACGCTAATTTAAAAATATAATTAAAAAGCTGGAGGGGAGTGCACACCTTTAATCGGGAGACAGTAGCAGGTGAATCTCTGTGAGTTCAAGGCCAGCCTGGCCTGCAGAGCTAGTTCTAGGACAGCCGAGGCTACACAGAGAAACCCTGTCTCAGTGTGTGTGTGTGTGTGTGTGTGTGTGTGTGTGTGTGTGTGTGTGTAAATTTAAAAATGGAAGTTTGAACACAGGTTCCCTTAATGGGTAGAAAATGCTTTCCTCAGAAGAAATGAGTTATTAACTGAAAATAAGCACCTGCCATAAGATATCTCTGTATGAGTTACTGACCAGAAAGTCCCCAGCAGTACCCTAGATAGCAAGACCTGATTGCTAAAGACACAACACACTTTGGTTGCAGGTGACAGAGAAATCAAACAGGAACTGGCATAGAAATTCCCTCCCTGCTGACTATCTTTCAGGGTGCTGGAGACAGAGCCCTGAAGGAGGAAAACAAATGATCAGTGAGTTCACCCAACAGTGGACAATGAATGCTAACCTGCCAGGCAAGATACACCTGATGGAGCAATTATGGCATGGCTGTCCTGAAGGTTCTTCATCACTCTCGGATGGGATCTGAGGCCTGCTCAGAGGAGAAAATGTATGCCTGGTATTGTAAACACAGTCAAAAGCGTATGGTTCAGGAGTTTATGGATCCTAGAGAGGAACCGATTACTGTTTTGTTGTTATTGTTGTTAAGTGTGCGTGTTTTCAAACTGCCTTCTAAATAATTATGTCCATAGACTAGTGTAGCTTTCAACCTTGGTCAGAGAAGCTTCTTTTTACAGTGAGCAACAGTCAATGCAGACGTGGAAGTGGTTGAAATGCTGAGGATAAGCAACTGTTGAGTCTTCGGCCCTAAATGGAAGCACATACCAACACCCCACACAAGCCAAAGTTCGTGAAACGTCGTAGAAAAGAGAGCATAACAGGGATGGAGAGGAAGCATGATGAGAAATGCTTTCTGGATATGACACCGTCATTGTAGTCATGAACCCATAGCAGCTGGGGTTACCTGCATAAGATCTGAACAAGATCAAACCAGTCAACCTGCCAGCATCCTTGAGAAAGCTCATGAAGCTCCAATCCGAGCTGAGGAGCTATTTGCAACGGAGGTGGATTAATCCTGCTTGAGTATGGCCCTAGAGGTTGTCCTATGTTCACAGGTTAACCACGTTCAGGTGGATGGCCACCACACCTGTGCATATGTGAGTGCCACTAGTCAGACTCAACGACTTATCTTTAAAAAAGGAAAGAATGAAAGAAAAGGAGAAGAAGGTGGGAGGAGTACATATTAGAAGGGCCCAGGGTGTGAAGAAGAATTTGATTGTAAACGTGTACAAAACTGTCAAAGGATACATTTAAAACAGTCAAAAAAGAAAACCCAATATGGAAACTTACTAATTTGTAAGCCACCTAAAAAACAACTTTTAAGAAATGAAAATTAAAGTAAAATATTAAAATAAAAGAAATAAATATGAACTATAAAATTAGATAGAAGGAATTATGCCATCAGGCAGTGCATCCTCCTGACTGGGAGGTCCCATCCTCTGTGTTTACTGTGTCTGTCTGCCGGATTGCTGCAAGCTCCATCGCACACTTCCTTTGATCTCAAGGCAGCTTCACAGTCGTCACCAAATTGCGCTTACTTAAAGGCAGCTCTGTGGTCTTCAAGGATTCCCGGGATCATCCGATTATTCATGTGACTGCTACAGGTTGAACAGCTGCAGCAAGAGGGTAAGCTGACTGATTTCTGCCTGCGTCGGGGCCTTGCCTCTAATCCCACCTAGGTTGTTGCCCATTCCCAAGGCCTTTCCTCCTAACCTCTCTCTACCCTCCCCACGGATGGTCCATGTCACAGATGAAAAGACTGTAATGAGCTACAATGCCCACCATATTCCTTGACTGCACAGCTGTATCCCAACCATCAGTTTTCATGTGCCCAAATCTCAGCAGAGTACAGTGCTTTCTTCTTCTGGGCTGTCTCCTGGAGGCCCTGTTACTTCTAAGAATTAATTTAGGTAGGTAGGTAAGTAGATGATAGATGCATAAACAGATTATATATATAAGATAGATAGATAGATAGATAGATAGATAGATAGATAGATAGATAGA